ATATATATATATATATATATATAATTTAAAGTAAACAGGCACTAATTGTTCTTCCTTGTTAAATTTTTTTTCTTAGATTCTATCTGCTTGCTTTAGCTATCTGAAAATGCTTAGATTGGCTAGTCAACCGGCTATAGAAGCCACGCCCTTTGTTCGGCGACGCTTCTCAGATTACGTTTCGGAATTCAAGGCTCTACGAGATGTCAAATTTCGTTTCCGTGAGATGGCCGTGCCCACAGACACAGTCGGGGATGTAGCCGCGATGCTGCACTATTTGCCCCCAGAGCATGTGTTCGCGGGCTATTCAACTCTCATTCGAGCTGACTTCGAAGTTGGTTCTCTTTTTTATCGTTTTTTTCTAGATTTCCTGGATTTTCTCATGAATTCTGCTCTCATTTTATAGATGTACTTTTTGATAACTTGCCAATTAACTTTACGTAATGTTCTCAAATTTTTTTAACATTAAATTACTCTTTTAGGTAGATGAATCTAATCAGATGGGCATTGTTATAAAGACAAAAAAGAAATGAATTTGATATATTTCTTTTTTATATTAGCTAATCATACTAATTTCTCCAATATCACTGATGTTACTTGCTATGAATCTAGGCTGACTCGCTGGAGGCACTTTTCATCATTTATTAACGGATTCCAGTAATAAGTTTTTGTAGTGGAGGCTCTAATTTCATATAAAAGTTTATGATCAAGAGATTTCTTGGCTTATCTCATAGAGCTGCGGCTAATTTTCATTATTCTATCATCAGCCAAATATCCTCTAAATTCAAATCTGCTCTGTGACCCACAGGCATTCGTAGTAATGTGACAGTGATTAACGATCGAAACTATATGCTTCACTATACAAATTGAGTCTCGCTGGGGTTTTTAATGACACATAGATGAGGTCAAATTTCATTCCATCCTGTTTGAAAATACCTTTTGCGAAGCAAGGCTATATGAAATCGACGGAAACTTGAGGCTTATTTATAGCCTGGTAGCGAAATTCAACTGCCAGCCTTTATCTCCCTAAACGAAATAGAGTTAATATAGTGCGTATGTTTGATCAAATAGTTTCATTCTGAAAATGTATTCCTCATTAACGAGTTATTATAATCGTCTAAGCCCGAAGGGTAGTTATTATCCAGGAATAAATGTTCAGCCTTTCTAACTCTACCGTCAAATGGTTTCTTTTAGCAAGCCTCATGCCCCTAATAGTCATTCACTTAGAATGCTAGCCTTAGTTTTTTAAATCGAATATGAAGACCAAGATGGTGTGGCCTTTTGTATGGTCGCAATCTCCTTTCGTTGTATAGAAGTTGTTTGACCTTGTTTTCGCAACTTGATCATATTGGTAGGAAGACTTATAGGAACGCACCTTATCCTGAGTCCATTGTATGTACAATTATTTCCTAAGTCGGACCGTGGACGTGGTACATTCCGAGACGTTCAGCCAGCATCGTTGTCGGCATCGTCCGTGAGTTTTACCATTCGTAGCACCATATTACAACTCGTCAATGAAGCAAGTGAAGCCGATCCTTTCACCAAACGTGTGCTAAACAGTTATGGAATCTCCCATTCTGCCCTGGCCTATTCACATCTCCTATATCCTCCAATCACGCCTTCACTGTCACAATATTTTACTTGCTTAATGAAATGTGGTACGGTGTGCTCTTTTTTAGCGGTTTTCATGAGAACCCTCAGCACTCCACGCTGGCCTTCTCATCCCCCTTCATCCTTGTGCTGGAAATGTTGATCAGAGTCTGTCATATTGTAACACAGTCCTCCTTTCCGAGGTCTTACCACAGTTTCTCTCTTACTCCGTAAGATCCGTCTACCCTCTCTCTCACATATTTTACTCGACCCCTGTCACCCCATCTGTGCCACCCGAGGCGTTATTGTCCCTACCCTGCGTCTGGGTGACTATTCGAGGCTCAAGCCTCTGAGTCAGGCCTTAGCCACATGGACCACGTTTTTATAAAATCTACTGCCAGCGCACTGGCTCCCATTGCGGCCGCGTCTATTCTGTTTATATCTCTAATACCGAGTCTATGACTTCCATGACCTATTCTCTTGTGTGCCAACCCACAACTGCTGTGGTACTGCTTGCTTTTGTTAGGTTCAATGTTTAGAGCGAATCACTTCAACATCCAGGAACGACAATCGCTCACCTACTTCCATCGTTAATTTAATTTTTGTTTTTTTCTGGTTTT